CATTGACTGCAACATGGCTTCTTGCTTGCTGACAACTGCTTGCAGTTTTGACACTTCCTCTTCAAGGGAGCTGATTCTATTGGCAAAATCTGATTCTTCTGGAATGGGCAATTGTGGAAATGTGTGCTCTGCAGCTAAGGGAATGCCATTGGTGAGATATTCTAAGAATCCTCCACCATCTTCCAATGTACCATCAGTATCCATTTTCTTTTTGCTTTGTGGACAAAAGCCAAACAAGCACCTTCCTTTGGTTTTGGTATTCTTCAAACACTGGTGATGGTGTGTAGTGTGTGGAGTTTTTATTCCTGGAATTGATTTTGCGAGTATTCTGGGTCTACAAACACGACAATGTTCTCTTTAGGCCGGTCTCTACCGGAGCGACTAAAGTAGGGACTAAAGGAGTACTTTAGCACCTTGTTTAGTCGCAGATTTAGTCCGTACCCTTTAGTCACGGAGGTGTCTACCCGCCACGGACTAAATCTTGAACTATCCAGCTTAGTCGATATTTTAGTACAAACTTTAAGCAAAACGTTATCTACCACGATCGACTAAACGTTTCGACTAACCAACGTTTTGGATTTCGTTGGTTCATTTCGCTAGCTAGCTAGCGAAACTCATCATCATTTCGCTAGCTAGCAACCTCTTGTTCTTTATTGTTATTGTTACTGCACTGATAGACCATGGCCAACACCAAGAAGAAGGCTAGTGAAGAGGCGGAGGTTCCCTCTGGGGAGGAAGAAGAGGAAGAGGAGGTACCACTGAAAGAACGAGAGGAAGAAGCCTCTGATGATGGCGATGATGATGATGATAAGGACGATGAGAGTATGGACACTGCAGCCCTTGGTAAGGAGCTTTTGGATAGAGTCAGTAAACCATTGAGGAGATCTCCTCAGCGTAACAAGACCGTCGCCAAGGTTACCACCAAGCCTGCCACCGCCAAGAAGAGACCTCGTTGTGGCAAAGGCGGCAAAGGCGGCAAAGGCGGCAACAACAATAAGAAAAAGAAAGTCAAGAAGACCACAGCTGTCGCTGATGATGACGAGGGTGAGGGCAAGTCCCAGCGCAAGCGTGGTTCGAATTTTGATGATTTTGAGGATCAACGATTGTGCCGTGCCTTCATCAGTGCCACACAGAGCATGAAGGGCACTGGTATGAAGAGAGGAGACTTCTGGAAGAATCGAGTTGCTCCAAAATACAACAAACTGCTTGACCAAGAGTCTGAACCTGATAACGAAGGTGACACTATCTATGTAACACGAGCCGCTGACCAGCTCCGTCGCCGTTGGAATTTGATTGCGGGACGCTGCCGAAAATTCATGGCTTGTTACCGTCGGGCCCATGCCAAGCACCGTACTGGATTCAATTCAGAGGAAGACTACATTGATTTTGCCGTGGAGCTATACAATGAGGAGAATAATGAAGCTTTCAATCATCGCAATTGCATTCCCCACTTGACCGAGTGGCCCGTCTTTGATCCCCATATCACCGAGACAGAAGAAGCTGATCGCAGAATGGATGAGTTGAATGCTGAGCCAAGTGGTGTTGACGAGAGCAAGCCGAAAGCCAACAATACCCGCGATCCAATGGGTTCTATGCATACCCGACCCACTGGCAAAAATACGACAAAATTCAACCTGGCTCTTTCCAACTCGGTGGCTTCGAGCAACCAGGAACGCAATCAACATTTGGAGTCCATTGCCTTTTCCCAGCAGATGCTCTCCGAGGGAGTAGTCCACCGTGGAAACATGAAGTCCAAGATGAAATGGGTGGAGCTTTTGATGAAGTTTGGCAAGATGACGGAGGCCGAAAATTTGTTGGAAGAAACAACAGCTGACGAAAAAGCATTCGAGGAACGACAGAATCAATTGCGGGATGAGCGAGAACAGCAACAGGCAACAAAAAACCAGCGCCAAAGCCTACTCCTCCAACTGTAGTTGAAGAGGGCAAGAGCCCTGACAGCCCTGATTCCTCCATGACAGATCCCGTGGCTGCCACTGCCGCGGCTGCTACTACTGCCACTGCCGCGGCTACTACCGCCAATGGAGAAGTAAGTGAAAAAGGAGTGGCCGATGACAATTCCGACTCGTCCTAATGCCGCCACTGTATATCGACAGGATGACAATAGTGGAACATGGAGCCACCCAAAAAACTATACCGAGGTTTAATTCAATAATTCAATAACTATAGTTTGTGTCCAGTTTTAAATTCTACAAGAGTCACGTGTAGACGCTCATGCTCTGTGATATCCATCAGCGAATGCCACTGTTGCCTACGAATCATAGTATCTCGAACACTCCTTGGTTGTTCCTCCCAACCAATCTCGGGTGGCTCCTCTACTAGTTTTTGGACGGTTTGCCTGTCAGGCGGCACATCAATGACAATTTCTCGATCAACTGTAGTGACACTTGGATCGTACTTGGCCCTCACATCTCCCATGACCCGATCCACAACACACATGTTGTGGAGAATGAGGCAGGTGTTGACACGGTTTCTAATTTTGCGCAATTCCAAATCCAGGAATGGACGAGCCATATATTGGAATTTGGCCTGAATCACACCGTATGCCCGTTCAATGTCCTTCCTAGCCGACTCCTGCCAAGCGGAATATTGTTTCTCCCAATCCAAAATTGGCTCGGATAAAGTCTTGACAAAACGGGAGTATTGTGGGTATATACCGTCGACCAAAATAAACATCTGAGGAAATTCTTCATCGCCAATGTCAAAAGGGACGACACCACCAATAGTCTCGAGATCGGTAAGCTTCCCAATAAGCATGTTTTCCAGCAGAGGCGACATGTCAAAAATTGTTATGTCATTGAGTGTTCCGGCATAGCCGAACGAAGCATGCCAGAAGAATAAATTGTAATCGCACATTGCCTCCAGAACCAGGGTAGGGACCTTTTTCGCTCCTTGGAAAGCTCCTTGCCATTCAATTGGGCACTGCTTCCAGCGATTGTGCATACAGTCAAGACTTCCAAGCATTCCAGGAACACCGTGGGCCGCCAAGTGAAGATTGGAAATATTTCGTAAATCAGTGGCAGTCGGCAAACCAAGGTACTCGTCTTGGTACAAATGAGCCAGGATGTCATCAAAGTTACTGCGGCAATCCCTTGCGAAGGTCTGCGACATTTGGAAATAGTCACGGAATGGTTGAGCAGGAACACCATATGCCAAACATTTCAACGGCATCAATAGACGTGCGTCCAAACATGATACCTGCCGGTCAAAAGCATCAGTGGACCCAATGTAGAAGTCATGACCCAAATTCATGACATCTTCTCTCAATCTCTGGTAACGAGGACGGCTGATGCGGTAGATATCCTCAAATTCCTTGAAATCAAATGTAGGGACCGGTCCAAGATAGTCGTCTAGAATACACTGGAAAGCTCTGGCATGGTTGTATTGCTTCCGAGGTTTCCTTGGCAAAAGACGGTGGTCAACCATGGGCTGTGGTGTGCCATCGTAATTATCCGTGGCCAACATTACAGCGGTATCGGCCATTCCCATGACGATATCCAAGGCCTCCCTGGAAGAGTCGGAATCCGATGAGGACGACATAATAATAACGGCCTACCACAGAGGTGCCCACCACAGAGGTGCAAATAGAAGAGTATAGTGGCTACAGTGACTAAACGCAGTGACTAAAGGTTGAGTTACAGCTTGGCTTGTTGGGCAAGTAGCTGCCTCTGTTGTTGAGGCTGTGCAATGAGGCTGATTGAAGATTGATTCTTAAAGAGTTCTTAAACAAGCTTTAGTCCTTACGCTCGCTTACCGACTAACCAGCCTCCCGTTAGTCGGTGAACGAACGTTTTGACTAAAGCCTTTAGTCCGTACGACGTTTAGTCGCTTGGGTAGACACCACCCCCCAGAGACTAAACTATCGACTAAACTATGAAATATGGCTTAGTCGCTACTTTAGTCGCTTGGGTAGAGAGCGGCCTAAGGGATCAAACTGTACAATATGAGGTGTTGCTTTGTCTCCTTTCTTTCGCTTTCGACGATAAGAGTTGGAAGCTGCGAGGTGGTATTTCCTTTGCTTCAGAGATCTTCTCTGTTGGCTTTGCCTCCCCATTGGCTCTGTCAAATTTTGAGCAAACAGGAATGTGCTGCATGGTTGCGGTCATAGTAGGATAACTTGGTTGATGACTGCAACGAGTGGCTAGCATTGGATTCAACACGCAACATGGTCAAATGTTCAGCCATTGAATAAAGGGGGAGAGTCGAGATTGACGAGATATGGATCGACGGAATTTTTCGACTTGGAACCTTTGAAGAAAAAGTGAGGAGATAGGTAGCACAATGGCTCCCTCATGTATAGTGCTGTGTCCTTAAATGTTGCTGACATACACACATGTCATGGACCAATCATATCACTGCCTTCTCTCCCATTTCGCCTCTGAGCGATTATTCTTTGAATGATCCATTGGATACCACTTGTCAGTTAAGTAAATGCATGCCCTGAATTACATAGAGGACATCAATTTCTTACTTAAAGGCTGTGGCAGTGGGCTACTGGAGTAGCCTAAAGTTGCAGAGAAGAACTGGACTACTCAAGTAGCCGAAAATCTAGACTACTCAAGTAGCCCAATGTGCAGCTGGTGCATTGGGCTACTCAAGTAGCTCAACGTCTTCTGATTGTTTGGGCTACTCGATTATCTCAAAGTTTGAGCTACTTGAGCAGCCCAAACATATGGGCTACTTGAACAGCTCAAACGAATTTTTGAAGGATGGGGTACACAAGTAGCTATGCATAGATAGCCAGACTACTAGCTAGCTAGCTAGCTAGCTAGTAGCCAGTAGATAGATGTGAGAGGAAGGACGACAGGTGGTGTGGGCTGTTAATAAAAATATTTATGGTTAGTTGAAATAGGGGCAGTAACGATTGCAAAAGAGTCCTTTTTAATTATTGGATATCTTGCGTGCGACATTCTGGGAGACATCAAAGAGTATGAAGCCAAGAAGAGGGGTTCTTTTAGCACTGGAGAAATGGAGGAGCACAAGCAACACCGAAACACCAACCGCAGCAAGGAGAAGGACCGTCACAACAACCCTTCTCTTCGATTGCAATCTCCCAGAGACAACAGACCAGAGACGATACTAGAACATTGGACAATCATCAGAGCCTCCACTTGCAATAGACTACTCGAGTAGATAGCTAGAGAGAGAGAAGACAGAGAGAGAGAGAAGCAGAAACAAGTGATTGAATTCCTCAATTCTCGACTGAGCTGACTGTGCAAAGAAGCAAGAAAGCCCCGAGTGGTCCACTAGGCTGTGTTTGAGGAAGTGTTAGAATGAGAGCTGTGGATCTGTGCTAGGTACAGTACTGCACAGACAACAACAAAAGACAACAATTTACTCAAGCTACTGATACTAGCTAGCTCGTAGTAGAAACGCCAAAAGATGCCGCCAAGCCCGTCGTGGCCTCCTGGCACGTATGTGTGCTACCAGACATGTGTCAAGCCGCAGTATTCGCTACGACGTCAACTGCTCCTCAGTTTTGGTGCCACGGGAGTGATCACGACGTCCTTGGTGATTTTGATGGCCTGTTTGTGCGTGCTTTCCACGGGACGAGTGGTACAAGAAAATGCGCGCGCTTTCATCAGTCGAGAAGTCATTTCCAGTATTTCCAATTCTTCCCAATATGCTGCCGAGAGTTTCTCTCAAGAACTCGATCACTTGCGAGGCACCGTTTCTCTTATTGTGGAAATTGTACGAGACAGAATTGTGGGATATCCCAACGATGGATGGGAAAACGATACGCACGTTCCATTTCGAAATTTACAAGGACAGCAAAAGTACCCTCTCAAATCACCACTCTTACCAAGAGATTGGATGGTCACTCCCAATATCCACTGGAACAATTACCAAGAGCATGTGCAGGAACTATTTGATCTTCTCCAGAAACAACACATGGCTCCTTCCCATGGAAAACCCATGCTCAGCACTGAATCCGCTGCCTTTGTCTTTCCAGGAAACTGTGATCCCACTGTCACTGACACCAACCATCCGGCCTACTATCCCAATTGTACACAAGCCAACAACAATGCACAGACAGGAGGCGTCGTCAAACCCACTCGTACATTGAAAGGACTCGAACAACCTGCCGCCGATATCGGTGTCCTCCTCAAACCCATTTGGGAATCGAGGCCCGATCTCATGATGGTTTCCGTTCATTTTGTCAATGAAGGAGCCGGGGCCATGGTCCAGTTCCCTTCCTTTGCACATGCCAAGAACGATCAGGCATACCAGTCCATTGGTTGCGATTGGCTCCACGAAAATAAAAATCCTCTTACGGGACGACCCTTTCTCACGCAAAATCAAACCGCCCGCAATTGTCATCCCAAAGGAACGTGGGTATCGTCTCGCGAATTCAATGCCATGGAAACGCCCTTTTGTCGCGATCAGGCATTGCATCCTCACGTGACACGATTCTTTGGACCCGTCGTGGATGACTTTTTCACCAAGGGGGCCTTTTCCATCGATCCAGAAGAAGACGACGACCTCTTTTTTTGGGTCATGCACATTGGACGGGCCATTTTCGATCGGTATTCGGGAGAATTTATAGGGTGTGTGGCCGTCCATGTATTGATCAATCGATGGACCGAACTCATTGTCGATACGTTGGCCGTACAAAACTACTCGAGTGGTGCGTTGGTGAATATGAAGGACGGCATTGTGGTGGCGGGAGGAGATTGGTCCTGGTACGAATCCCGCACACCCGTGCATGTCACGGACGTGAAGGATGTCATTGGGACACCGCAGTTTTACGAAGACTTGAAAGCGGGGATTGAACGCAGTCGTCGCGAGCATGCAAACAAGAAGAAAAAGCACAAGAAGAAGGATGGCGAGAAAAAGGGGGCACCCAAGGAAATTATCGCCACGGCTGTGGTTGAATGTACGTCCGGACGCGTCATGTCGGCATCGGCGTTGCCGGGGACCGACTTTATCTACGTACAAGCGGTCACAGAGGAAGTCTTTGATGTCATTGATCAGCTCAAGTACGACATTGATCAAGACGTTATCTATTCCACTTTGGTGGGGCTGCTCATTGGAGGAATCGGGATGGTCGTGCTATTGACCATCGTTTGGATCGAGTCACTCGTTGTCACGCGTCCACTCAATTGGATCCAAAAGATTTCCTGGAGTATCGTCAATCACAAAGACTCCAAAGCGCGCCAGTCGTTGAGGATTGACGATCCCGAAGAAGTGTCCACCGACGGATCAAATTCGGCCGATAATAAATCCGATGACATGAGTGTCCAATCGGTCTCGTTTTCCTGGCTCAAGTGGACTCCTCAAACGGAAATATCCGAATTGGTGAAGGAATTCAAAAAGATGATTCGGGGCTTTTCGGGCGCTGGAAAGGCGTCCACGGTGGCCAAACCGACGACGCACGAAATACGAAACCTCCTTGTTTGGCAGAGTGATTTCCAACGCCTCTACAGCATGGCCAAGGGGACGACGACGCCGAGTGCTGGCCAGCAGTCAGCAAGGTTCTCCAATCTAACTCAGTTGTCGGAAGGCACGTTGAACCACAGTGTGGCCAATCTAGACGTGGACAGCGATTCCGACTCTGGTGACGAAGCAGCTCCACCCGCCGAAAACGAAGGGACGGCTAGTTCAAATAAACAAGCCGAAGACGCCTCTTCGGAAGTATCGGATACCAACGACTGCTACCGATCTCAAGAAATGTCCAGGGCCACCGACCCAGACGAACCGGGAGTTTCCGCAATTTCCGGCGAAGACTCGTCACGTGCGTCGTCTACTGAATATCTCTTCCGATCCGCCAAAAGAGAGCCTGCAGGGTCACCCGAGAAGCCTTTGGCACTTCCCCAGCCTGCTCTGAATGCGGACAAATCTGGTACCACTGCTGCCACAACCATATCATTCGTTTCACACGGCCCGCCGTCCATCAACGGATGGAAAAATCAAGGACGGAATCTGCACCCACAGCACAAGAAACAGCACGTTCACGACACGAGTGAGCCATGCATCCCAACCGACTCGCCGCTTTACCGATGGATATTGATTCTCTTTGTTGTCCCAATGATTGTGACCAACGCTATCATTGCCATCACAGCGACAAGAAGAATTGGTGTTGTACTTCCAAGATGGATTGAAGACGTTGAACAAGCTTCCTGGCGAATTCAATCAGAAAGCATGAGCGTCTCTGCAAGGTTCGCATCGATTTATGCAGAAGCCATTTTGGCAACGCCTGTGAGAGATCTTTTCGTAATGAACAGAGTGGCTGGATGGATTTTCACGGACGCACTAGATCTCGAAGCAGATGGATTCGTGGAAGTGACTTCAGGCTCGGAAGAGTGCAAGGAATATGAGTCGAGCTGCCCTTGGAATTCCGGTGACAACTGGTTCAAGAATGCTCCATGCGATTGTGCATGGGAAGAACCATCTGCAGAAGTCTGCTACGCGTTTGATGAGGTCACGCCTCTTGAACAGAGAGGCACTCGATGGATGCAAAAGCTCTTCTATTCTGGAAAGCGCCACGACGCCGACGAAATGACGGGAACACGCGTTGCAAGTAGCTTCCCAATGGTGGATACAAGTGCGGCAAACACCTCGTGGTGGGATGACCTTGCACAGTTACCGGGGGCGCACAAAGGAAGCAAGTCATCTGGCTACGAGACTACGTACGACCGAGTACGAGGCCTCTCAGCACTCTCCATCATGATTTTCCCAATGTACAATGCGAAGACTTCCCTGAAATATTCTGGCGAGCATTACCTCTTTGGGGCCTTCTTGGGCTTTGAAGCAGACGGTATGTTTGCGGGCTGGGACGGATGCAAACATTCGAGTCCATATTACCCCCAGTTCCAGTCCACAGAGGCGAATCAAGCGTTTCGTTTGAACGCATCCCTATGCCCGGAATCGTCGTGGGGATACGATGCACGGTGCCGAGGCTGGTACGTTACCGGGAAAGAGCTCGCACAGGCTGAAAATGTGACTTCCCTCTACATTGCGCCACCGTATGATTTCGCTGGAGTGCCCGTCGAACAGAAAGCCAGCAGCGTTACACAGGCTATTGTGGACCCTCGTTCTGGCGAACACATCGGTCAAAGTTTGGTTGACTTCCTTCACTTTGAAGTGCTGAACTTTTTGGCGCAACACGAAGAGGACTCTTTCCATTTCGTGATCACTCCAACAGAAGACGCCTTTGGGAGCGACACAGTATTCGCTCACGGGCTGGGTAGTTTAAACGCAAGGGCTACAATTGGCGACATGGTTCTTCCATACGATGACGTCAACTCGACAAATCGAATGAGGTTTGACGAGATTGTGGATGACATGAAGCAAGACAACTCTTGCTTCCAGAACTTCACCAGAACAACCATTGAGACTGCCGAAGATGGTACAGTGGTTGCTGGTGAGGAGATGATTTGGTTGGCGTATAATCCTGTGCATGTCCGTGCGTTGGATGCAGTGCAATGCGATGACTACGGTCGCGGGCTTCATGTGTCTCAATCTATGGTCTATGGTATCGGATTGGGCCGTACGAAGGAGTCCCTTGAAAGACCGTTTATCGCGTTCAAGGAGGACGCCCATGAGCCGTTAACTCGCAACGTTTGTGTGTATCTTGCGATGACAATCCTTATCTCGCTTTTGGCGACATCGGTCGCTTGTCGGGTACGTTCGCCTTTCTTTTTGTGATGATTCATTGATTACAAGTGAGTTTGTTTTCCTGACGAAGCGCTTTCCTTTTGCAGATATCCGTGGCGGTGTCGCGGCCGATTGTAAACCTTCTCAGTGTTGTGAGGCAAATCAATGCCGGCAAGATTGACGAGGATATTGCTCCTCTGTTCGGAGGTTCCAGAGAAGTGAACCAAGTTTACACGTCCTTTGCAAAACTCTACAAGATCGTGCGTGTGTCAAACGGAGCCTTTTTCTCAAAAAATCTGCACTGGGCCTGTCATTTCGTCAGGGACGCCTTGAAGCTTTTCACAAAAATTGATGACAGGAAAGCCATTGCGATTGCATCTGGCAATCTGGGCAGTACACTGTTGGCAATAAATTGCAGTCGACCGCGGGAAGGCCGATGTTCTTGTTTGGTTGTGGACTCAGTATGCTGTGTCAAAGAGGCGTTTTTGCACTTTGAGAGAAGCGTCGGCAGTGGCACTGAGGATTTTCAAACCGCGCCCGATATGTTCATGAAGGTTGAATTTGCGGAACAGCTGGCCGATCGACTTTTCAACCGTGGCATGTACTTCTTGCTCTCGAAGGAGGACCCTTGCGCCGGCGATAACTTCGAGACACAAGGACTCGAAGATTTGATGAAGGTGCAAGCCTTGGACCTGGACGTGTTGGAGTACTGGATTCACAACGGCATGCTGAAGCAAAAAACCAGCATTTTGTTTGACCGCTTGTTGCGTCGCCTGCACGGACTGTGTGTCTTGATGGAGAATGACATTTCGCAGGATATCTGGGACCCCAAATCGCTCGCTTACGATTGTCACAGGTTGCTTACTGCTTCGTGGGATCAGCCCGGAGAGCCCCTGTTTGAGGAGTTCACACAAATTGGACGTCTGCAACAACTCGAGGGCGCGCTGATCAATATGCAGCTCCAAAAGCACCAAGAAACTGACGCTGCGCGGATTGCAATGCGGATGCTGGTGGAAGATGAGTTTATTGACGATGGAGCCTTCCAGCATGCTGCTGATGCAGTGCTACAATTCACGTCACAGGAGGTCCCATCAGACTTATCCTGGTCGCTGCTATCCAAGGCTTCAGCGCAACGCGACATTCGAGACATGCTCAAGTCTTGCAAGCAAACATGTGTTCGTACCCAAAAGTGCGTCTATTTCTGTTTGGAGCTGTCCGAGGCACGGCATCTGTCCAGCCCCGACTTGCGACATCGTCTCTTGTCACTGTATGATTCGCACTGCAGAGACGATGACTTTTTTGGGCTTGTGGCGTCCGACGGAAGGAATCCATTCATGAGCGGAAACAACATCATCCAGCTTGACATGGAATGCAAGCAACAGCGACAAGGAGAGCAACGACGAGGAATCGAATCGGCACTGGACGCTCTAGGTCAGGATCCCGTCTGGAAGTCGGCCCCATCGGCTGCGAAGATGTTGTCTTCCGCCGGCTCGGTCGAATTCCGTTTCAAAGCACCTCCATCCTGCAAAGCCTTGACGACCGCTCTGGAGAAGGTGGTTGCTTCGGAAGCCTCATCAATCTACGATTCTTACATTGTGTACGTGACTGATGGCCCGAAAAGAAATTGGGATTGGAAGGTGCTGCAGTCTTTGAAGTCGAGGATCGAAGAAATTAATGCCAAAAGAAAGGGTGACATCCACCTGATTCTGTTGGATCTAGAAGAGCAACCAGAGGCAGCCCCAGAAGCGGAGCATGGCAAGGCAACGACAGCCAGCGCATGCCGCAGTCTCTGCAGAGTCTCAAGAGGTTCGGCATACATCAGGGCACCCTTGTCGGGTCTCGAAGAAGGCTTTGCGGCGCTCAAGTCATCTTTGTCTAATGCTTACCGTGGCACTGCGTGCAGCAACACTCTGTTGTCTAGCATTACCATGGAGAAGTTTTAGCGGTGGATGGCAGCGAATACACAGTTAAATTGTATTATAGTAAATAGTTGCATACTAGTACTCCCAACACATTCGTCGACATCTGACCCCAAGCCAGGACCTACACTCACTCTCCCATACACTTGAACGAAGACTAGGCTGGACTCGCACAAAGCCCAACACCTGAATGTTTTTTTTCTTCGACTCTGGCTGTCACCTCACACGTGTCGTGGCTATACATGCAGCCCTCTCACCACCATTTGAAACCAAACTTCCCTCCTCGTGATATGGGAACAAATTGAATAGAGTGCCTGAGCTCCTGCTGAATGAAACCAAAACCGAGCCAAGCTTCTGTACCGTACAGGTGTAACCATGGGACCTACTAACTAACTAGCAAAGCACCAAGTAGATTGACAAACCAACCGTACCAGGATGATCCACCACATCGAGCATCCCTGTCAAGGCAGTGCCACGAGCAGGATGACCGAGGTTTGTATCCTTGGTTGCATTGCAGACAGCCCAGCCAGAGAAGCCTCAGATCAAACCAATCACAATGGCAGAAAATTTTCAAAATGGCTTGAAAAGTGCGGATTGGATGCCTTCCTCAGCCGCAGAAGCAAAGCAGAAGCTGAGTGTGCTGGACAGCATTAGACTATTTCATGGCACACTTCGCCAAACCCAACAATCCAGTTGGTTTTCTTCAAGTCTTTCAGCTTTGATCAATGGGGAGTCACCTCCTCCGGGGCTCTGGCCACCATTTTGAATACAGATCGGCGGTGCGGATTGTTGTTGTGTTCAGCAGAGACTTTGTAGCGAAGCGGAAATGGTGGCACTAGTACGGTGCGCGTTCAAACCCCAAGGTACATTGTACATGTAGCACAGACGAGAAAGCTGGATCACACGGAGCCCAACATGAGGACATAACTGGTTTGCTTCGATTGTCCGGAGCTGTTCACCCGGGGTTCTTGGACATCCCGACACCAATTTGAATGCATTGAGGGGAGTGGTGAGGATTGGGATTTCCAAGGGGGGGGGGGCAAGACAACTGTTCTTGTCGCATCTTGAGTTTTCCCGCATTTTCCCAGAGTTACCCGGTGAAAGGCAGTAAGAGATGGTAAAGAGTGCTAAAGCAGGCAGTTCGTGTAGGAGATCCAAGTCGGTCAAGTTGGTTAAGGCTGGTGAACCATGCAAACAGATGGTCCAGTGTGATGCCGGAAATAGTGAGTTGTTGAGCCACCCCCAGCGAAGGGGAATAGAGGACACTAATAAGGTTCCGGATCACATTGAACAGCCGCCGGAGCGGCCAAATAACTACGTTACGGATTGGGTAGGGGGAAAAAGTAAACAACCGCCTCTTTGTTATTTTACTTTTTCTGATCCAAAAATGGCATACATTATGAAGATGGCCAAAACCATCGCTTACCACTTTCCACAAACAAACACAAGTTACATCCAATTCGCTTCAGCCAACCAGGCGCCGCAATAATTTTTTGGTGAATTTAGACAGACTTGAGCTTGCGAACAGTGACCTTGCCACTCATGGCCCAAGCAGCACCAGCAGCCATCAAGGCAAAAGGAGCCATGGTAGGTCCAAAGGTATTTTCCAAAAGCATGGAAGAACCAGCAAGGACAAAGAAGACAGCAAAGAGAGCAGCCTGAACAAAAATGTTTTGTTGCTGAGTCCAGAAAGCAAAATCAATTCCAGCAGAGGCATAGGTGGGGATTCCAGCCTCAGTGTAGGAAATACTGGAGAAACTGGCAAGCATGCGAAGGGGAGAAAGAGCCATGTGGACAAAGTCTTGGTAAGAAATGAGAGCAAATCCTCCTTGAAATTCCACATAATCAGCATTGTCCTGGAGGGACACATAAGAAGAGGCCTTGACTCCATTGACAACAACAGTTCCACTCTTGGTCAAAGGAGAGTAAACTCCCTCACGAGTTACAGTCTTGATTTTCTTGACAGTGGCACCTTCGAGGACATCTCCAACCTCAACGGAATCAGCACGGACTGGGCTAGTCTTTCCTTGGAGGAACACAAGATGAGCAGCAGTCATTTCCAATTCTCCATTGAATTGGAGGAATTCAGCCTTCTCAGTGGTGTGCTTGTGGGCCCAGGCAATGACAGGCTCGTATTGTCCATTGGAAGCCAAAACTTCCTCACCAACTTGAAGATCGGCCATCTTGACCAGTCCTTGGGGAGTCTGAACAGTTGTCACACCAGAAAAGCACAATGCACCAGCCCATCGGGGAATAGTCTCAGTGATAAAGACAGGAATTTCAGCTGTCAAATAGTCACTGACATCACCAGGGGCACCTCCATGGTAACTATCCTCATCATCCAATTTGCGTTCAGCGGTGGCACGAAGAGTGGCAGCAGCAGGAGCCAACAAGAGGGTAACGAAAAGAGCAGCGAATTTCATCTTATACTTAATTGATCAAAGAAAAATAATTTGGTGTTGATAACGAAGGTAATCAAAAAGGATTGATTTGATGATGAAGCTTCAAAAACTGATAGTTTGGAGTCCGGCAATAAAAATTGTGAGAATATCGATGGAGGGTGGAGGACGAAGATGCGAAAGATCCAAGTAACTTCTTCCTCTTCGCCGTCGGTCGGAGTTCCAGAGTTACAGTCAAAACGGCCTAAGGCGTGGTACTGTACCCATCGTGGGAGCGGCATGTTTCAGGAAGATCACGGATCCAAGGTTCTTAAATGGATCCCACAACAGACTCACTTAGAGTCCCATGTGGGAACTCATTTAGACGAAATATTTCGAAATTGGAACCTTCAGTCTCGAGTGTTTAATGAAAACAATGCCAATGATTCGACTGTAGAACGGGCTGTAGCCAACCCGGCAAACGAGTTCACGCAAAGGGTTTGTTTCAGCGAGAGGCATCAATTTCTGAGTCCGAGTGTGACATCAAGTTCCGACCAATGTCCGATTAGACTTCTAAGTACAGTCCTAAACAGTAACTTTGGCGAGAGCGGGCCAGGACCGGTACCGGGGGCAACGTAGAGGCAATAGTGAGTTGAATTGCGCCATTAATTATTGTACCGCTTCAAGCCTCGTAAGATTCGGGCGGTGACCTTACTGTAACAGGCTTATTGAATTGCCTTTTGCCTCCGAGTTCGGAAAAGAGTTTGTAAAAGTGTGGCTGGCTGACGCGCAACCGAACTGTGAATCGTTCAACTGCCGGAAGATTCGACGAAGTACGTCTTTTGACCTCATTTATATCCATGTATGAGCCTACCGTATCACCAGTTTTGGCAATGCAGACTGACAACAATGTCACCACCGAACAAAGACGACAATAAGACAAGACGCTGAAACAACAAAGTGCTGCCGAAGATCTCGCCTGCATTTTCTGAGCAACCCACTTTATCTTGCTAGAACCTCCATTTGGCAATCGAATAAGGCCATAAGCCAAGCAATAGGTATGTCAATATGTCAATGGAACCGGATGGCCCTCACATTTCTATTCTCTAGGTACTTTTGGCGGAGATATCTAGACTACCAGGTAGCTAGCTAGAAACAATAATACCAATATCACCAATATTCCGTTAGCCTCTCGTATTCCCGTTTCCGACCATGCTCCTTCCAAACACAATGCTTCCGCTGCACTCAGTCAGACACCTGTACATGTAGCACCAGCCATGCTTATCAAGGATTCAGGAGATCCTCGGCTACAAGATCCTCAGCAGCAACGCCGTCCATCTAGAGCCAAAAACTTCAAGTCGGCCGAGAGGAGCAATTAGCAGCCGTTGGAACCGTGGAATCTGCAGCTGCTGCCAAGCATGGGCTCCGGAGATCTAACTATGCAAAGATCAGCCAGTGCCGAAACACATGTGCCAAACTCGAAACACCAGTAGAATTGCTAGAAACGCAGTCAGCAGCAATGGCAATGGAATCCATGCTTCCAGTGCCGGGTGCCCCCACGGGATCTTTGGAGTCCTGCCATGATTCAGTAGAAAGCAAACAGATGGTGTCAATGGTGCACAATCAACCACCACTAGCAAATCCTGTGCCTGTACCTGAACCTGTACCTGAACCTGAACCTGTACCAATGCAACCTCCTGATTTGGCACCACCTCCACAGCTCAGCCAGTCCTCCTCTGACTATAAGGCGTCACCTAATCGTAGTGACAGCCAAAATCAGGCTACTTCTGTACAATGGCAATGACAATGAGAAAAACTGAGAAAATGGCGAAAATATCACTAGTGCTGCCAAATCACTTTTGTTTGCCAAATATTGGACTCTGATTGTGGCTGAGGTGGTCTTGGTGGCTGTTGTGGGTTTTTTGGCGCTGGGATCCAGCAGTACGGTACGGTAGTGCTAATAGTAGTGGCTGTCTAGGAGGAACCAGGTTCTACGGGTGCTACGTGTTTCTGAGGGGGCTCCACAGAGTTTTCCCAAGATTTGGTGGTTCGTTCCAGTCTCCATTCCATGCCAACTCTTATGCCCGGGCGAAATAATCCACATGTCGTACGATCCCCACGGAAACACTGGCAGGAGCTTCAGAGGCTGGTTGCATGCACCCGATGCAACTCTAGCTCTTCCCGCATCATCAGCTTTTTCTTGTTGCAACTTGTGTGCACAGAATGTACCCGATTCACTGGCAAAGCCCATTCTTGATTTCTGCAATTGAGTATGTGAAACAAACTGGCCTGACGATTGCCCTGACCTTGCCGAGCCGGTTGGTCGGAGAGGTAACTGGACGAGACCTAGTTTTCGGCCCCTCTCGAACAAGTCAAGGCGGCAGGAGAAGAAGAAACACTTTTTGGGTTCTTTTATTCCATTCGATTCATTCCCGGCGTGTCATTGGAGGAACGACATTGCTACGAACAGGAACCACCGCCCTATTGTGCCGAGCAGTATACCGCCCCCGCACATTGACTACCTGGTGCGCTGTACCGTGGATTTATGAGGCATGAAGTGGATAAGTCGTTTGGAGTAGCGCAACTGGCGTTTTGTTTCTTTCATCCTCGTTGAACCAGTTGCTAGGCAACTTGATCGTGTTGGCTGCATGATTGTTGACTTTTTTCTAGTGAATCCGATTGACAATTTTATGTTGCTCCAACCAGCGGGAACAGTGGTTGGCAACGAAGCACGCCTGGACCTTGATTGTTGGACCCGCCCATCTTGATCTTCGTCCTGTCCTTGATCACTGCTTGGAATTCAAGGAATTTGCAGTGTGAGATCGAATGCCATCGGACAGTCGCCGTGACTTCTTTGTCAGCGCCATGCATCCCGGGACCTCCAGTCATCCGAACCCGACGTGGCTGCCATTGTCGTTTCCACTGCGCAGCTTTTGAAATTTGCCTTGTACAACAAAAAGAGACCCCCAACAAAACGACAACGCTCTCTCTTCATGCGACCAATGCAACGGGCAGACTGAGTTTCTGGGGTGGCATCGATGAAAAAGCAGAACGGAAAAACGGACCAAACTATGACTTCCTACCGGTACTTGCACTGCGTAGTATGGCGACGTTCTGTTGGAAAAGCTCTTGACCGGCATTGGAAACTGCCCGCACCACCACATTCAAGAATTGGAGTTACTAGTAGTTCACCAACAAGGTTGGACCATGAAGGTACGGTAGCCGCGGACGAATGCTTGCAACGAAAAAGTCAAGTCTCCACGTGGATTTCTCGAGAATGCCGGTACCATCGCAGTGTAGCGCTTCCCGCAATCTTGCTGGTGGTATATATGTTTTGCACCTTCGATTCTCCGCTCCGGTTTTGTTGCCTGTCAATTGATGGAGCGATGCCGGGTACGGTACCAGGTAGTGTACTTTACCGTGGATGTGCCCCGATTCTTTGTGTTGTCTTTTGTGCAAAGCAACTGAATAATTAATAATCGGCCCGAAAGCAAAGATGTCGCGTTTGTAGATTTGCTGTGCTCGCTCCATGGTTGCGAATCCATCCAAAACAACTGAACAACTGGCCTGAAAGCCCCAAAGTAAAGATGTCACGTTTGTAGATTGCTGTCATGGTTGCGAATCGAATCAAATCAAATCAAATCAATCCATTCCTTACTGCGCGGAGGTAGCTCGATCCTTTTGTAGTAGCCTTCTCATTTTCATTTCTAGAGGGCATTACTGACTGGATAACTCTCACTTACACCAACGCCTTGTTCCACAATTGGTGGTCCCTCCAAACACGGGAACATTCTTCATGTAAAATGGCATGTCGTTGGGCGAGCGCCGTGACATTGTTCTTATCGTATCCCCCTCCAATAACGGCGGCAACGGGTATTTCCATTTGCACGGCACAATACTCGACGACGAATCGATCGCGTTGTCGTATTCCCTCCAATGAAACATCGAGTCGTCCGAGACGATCTCCTTTATAAATATCGACTCCGGCATCGTAGAGAATCAAATCGGGTTGGACCTCGTCCACAGCCTTGGTGACAGTCCGTTTCAGTGTTTCGAGGTATTCTTGGTCCGTCATGCCATCGGGCAATGGTACATCGTAGGTGGAGTGTGCCTTCGGGTGTGGATAGTTGGATGCACAGTGTAAACTGAGTGTAAAGAGTCGATTGTGGAATAAGTGTGGAAGTGCTTGCATACATCGTGCCGTGCCATCTCCTTGATGGACATCGGCGTCAATGACAAGGACACGGTCAATGGGAAATGGCAACTCGAGACTACTACTAGCGTCAGTAGGAGTAAGACAACAACTGGCCGCCACGATGAGATCATTGAGAATGGTGTATCCGGCTCCCTTTTGATGATCGGCATGATGTGTGCCTCCCGCCAAATGAGCCGCAATGCCGTAATGACAGGCCAATTGTGCCGTCAACACGGTTCCTGCCACTTCGAGTACAGTTCGTCGAATCAATTTTGGTTGATGCGCTTGTTCTCGAAATCCAATTTGTCGAGCTTCTTCGGTCGACAATTGAGCTTCCAAGAAGCGTTGCACAAAATCCTTGTCGAGAGGTCCCGACAACCAATTCTTCAGGAGTGGTAGATTGCGAGAGGAATAGTCGAGGGGACGAAAGAAATGCTGCGAGTCCAAGACCAACGGTTGCTTGTCTTCATTATCCTCTTCTTCTATACCAGTAGCTGTTGGAGTGTTCAAGAGCACATGTGCCAATCTTTCAAACTTGTCCATGGGAAACGAATGTTCCGGAGGCCAACCGTCGAACGAGTAGTCTTCGTGGTACACCAGTGGACAATGACGATGATTCTTTACCGGATCCAACGAGGGCACGCGAGAAGCAGAGCCTGCAAACAGCTGAAACCTTGCTTGATCAAAAGTATCGGTGCCATCACTACTGGTGTTACTACCGGTACTGGTACTGGTATACAGTGCTGACTTGGCGTAGCAATGACGACCGGGACGCAACAACCGCTGCATCTGCAGCGCATTGGCCCTGCTACAAGTAGAAACATAAGCCATTGCAATCGACCACAACAGGAAGAAAGCAGCTATGAAGACAGGCAGTCTCAATGTCGGTGGATGCACAAACATGACATGATCACTGCCGAGACGTTTCAGTGCAGCTACGATATCTGTCTATGATCTATGATGCCACGGCTGGATCCTGAAGCATCGAAAAAACAACCAAGCAACGGCATTGCGATTTGTTATGACGTCAGTCCAAGTATGACATACATGTAAGTGGTGCCGAATCTTGGATGGAACAACATCGAGACGTCTACCATTAAGTCTTTTTATTATAGAAAAGCACGCACACTTGATTTGGATACCCTTTGGAAAGATCGCGTGTCAATTGGATCTTTTGCTTGCAAGTGAGAAAGGAAACGGTCATAAGCTTTCAACTCGGAAGATGACTAAGCTTCTGGATGTTACCCTGCAATCACTCAAGGCTCACAATCTTGAAAGAAGACGACCTGGACAGGTTCCGTTTGTTTTAACAACAAAACGAAGTAGTAGTAGTGCAGCAAAGGATTGATTGACCATGCCAGAAGAAAAGTTGTCTTGGAAGGATTCCAACTTGGCCTTGAGTGAGTTTATACGTTTATACCCCTGTCTTTCATCCCTATCTGATGTGATCTGATGGGTATCTTTTCTGATTTGTGTGTTCTTTGTTTTCTTCTGTGTTTATCTAGTCGGCTCGGAACTGGATCACAAGATCAAAGCTGCTGCGGCGGAACTGGAAGAAGCATGGAGTGGCATGGGCCAGTCTCCGGAAACGCGCGTGTGGCGGATTGAAAAGTTTCAAGTCAAGGAATGGCCGTCGGACAAGTTTGGAAAATTCCACAAGGGAGATTCCTACCTCGTATTGCACACGTACAAAAAGGGAACCTCTGATGCCCTCTTTCACGACATTCACATGTGGATTGGCAGTGAATCGTCGCAAGATGAATACGGAACCGCTGCCTACAAAATGGTAGAAGCCGATGATTATCTGGGTGGAGTCCCTGTACAGCACCGTCAAGTGCAGGGACACGAAACCGAAACGTTCCTCACGTACTTTGATGCCCTCGAAATTCTAGATGGAGGCATTGAAACTGGATTTAATCATGTCGAACCCGATGTCGAAAATCCCGTCTTGTACCGTGTCAAGGGAACCAAGAAGAAGCGAACACTCACACAGGTACCACTCCAAAAGAGCTCGCTCAATGAGGGAGATTCCTTTATTCTCTTTGGAGGAAAGGCCAATGTCTGGTGCTGGCATGGACAAAAGGTACGTGTCGTACAGCTAAGACAGAAAAATGAATCAGAAGCAACACAAAAACTAACCTACTCTATACTACCTCTCTGTTACTATCTATATTTGCTTAGGCCAAACCACTGGAAAAGGCCGATTCCAACGTGTGGGCCGAAAACATGTGCACCATGGGCACCGTCGTCGTACTCGATCAAGGACAAGGTGATGATTCCGAAGACAAGTTCTGGGCGTACCTGGGCGATGGTGACATTCAGACGGATGCGGCCGACGACGAGGGCGTGACGGAATTCACACCCCTCCTCTACCGTGTCGATGGATCCATTGCCAAGGATCTCGAAAAGGTCGCCGAAGGATCGCCCGTACAGAAAACCAGCGCTGACTACAAATGCCTCAACAAGGGCGACCTCAAAGATGACGATGTCTTTTTGCTCGATAGTGGATGGGAAATTTACGTTTGGATTGGAAGCAAGGCCGATCGATACGAAAAAATTGCCGCCATGTTTGCCGCCGACAAGTATTCCAAAATGGATCCCCGTACCCTCGAATTGCCCGTTGAAATTGTCAAGTCGGGTGCTGAATCCGACCGATTCCTTTCGTACTTTGCCTAACTAAGCGCATACGGTACATGTAAGGCAGTAAGGATACAGAGCCCTTGATAAACGTTTGTTGCATGGCGTTGTAGTGGTTTGGCAAGACACTGGTGGACTGGTCTGGAAGGAAGGATGGATGGAAGGAAGAATCCCATTCGTGATCAATTCTAGACATTTATAGTATAATCTGAACCATCGTGTCAACCTGGAACCTGTTGAACATCTTCCAGGTAGAATGGTGGTTGCAGAAGAATCCCTCTTTTAAGATTAGTGGATGCATGCATGTCTTGACTGGTGAACTTTAGCATAGTTGCCCCGGGGCAAACTTGACACGACTTGTTTGCGTTCTGGCTAGATCGATGCCTTGTACAGCGCTCCAAGCATGAAGTAAGACGGATTGGGAGGAATCGTCACTGAATCGAATCGTCTCCTTAACTTGGCGATCTGCTGGCTGGTATCTTTCACTGAAGATCAACCGAGGTTCCAGAACCATCGAGCATTGCTATCAAAGGAAATCCTCATCTGTTAGTTTCGTGTTACAACCGTAGCGGTACATCATGGAACTCGCAGCACTGGCGGTGTCGTCGTACTACCGGTACGCAAATGAAACGGTGCAGATTGGGTCTCTATTTGCGGTCGATTGTGGCTAGTAGCTAGCACGAGGCAGTCCCTGTTTCTTCCATTGAGTCGGTAGTGTCTGCAGATTTTGATGACACCAAATGGTGCCACTAGCACATTCTTTCATCATCCACCCCGATTGCTGTCCCCACTCATACCGTTCTGATCAAGAAGATTGTGGTTGTGGTGATGATGATGATGATGATACTGAAACAATGCCGCCATGCAGGATTGTCCGGATGATTGCATTTTATCCTCTCGAAAGCTACTCATGCCCATCTTGGCATACTGTTTCTTCTTCAAGTGCAATGACATCATTTCTCGAGTGATATATTCCCCTTCCAACTCTCCCCTTCCCACCACAGTTATAGATCGTCCATTGGTACCTTGCCAAATCCCCGCCTTGACTGGTTTGAACCCAACACCCTGAGGATCCATACGAATTCCAGCATCTTTGCAAAAATCTTGAAAGGCTCGATGCAACGCATGCGGCCCTGTTACCAAGGCGGCATTGATTTGCTTGGTATCTTCTTGTACCATGATTTTGTTGGTGGCATGTTGAATGGCATAATAGACGAGGGGATGACGGGGTGACACTGCCATGACATACTGACTCAATATGTGAAACTGCTCCACAACAAACCATCCATCATCGGAATCTTGAATGGCTGTCCCCTTATTGTCATTATTGTTGCTTGAAATAAAGACTTTGGTTGGCTGGGTATCAATATCGGCATAGACACCTCCATACGTCCACAGCACCAAATATCTCCAAACATCTGCATTGAGCGTACCATGGGGTAAACAATTGGCCATGACCAGATCATGGAGCATGGGAAATTCATCGGACTGAGACACCAGGAGACGAATCATGGCATCATCGTCGTGGAGATAATAGTCATATCCTTGGAGGGATCTCCATGGTTCCGAGATTTTGGCAAACAGTTGGGTGAGGCATCGAGATTTGGAGGTCTGATGAATCACCTTGGGGATTTTGCTGTTGTTATTGGTGTTGTCCTTTTTGTGGATGACATCCTGAATGTACACAAAGCTCTTGGCTTCACAGCTGGCTTGGTCTTGTGGATGATTGTTGCGAGCCTGGCCCCGGCTGGCTTCCGTAGATAATTTCCCTACATGTACTCTAAACCCCCCCACCTTTAAAAAAAAAGTGTTGGTGAGTTCCAAGAATCGTTGGTCCCGTTCCAATGTAGTCGTGTTCCAAGCATCGTTGGTCCCGTTCCAAGCATCGTTGGTCCCGTTCCAAGCATCCTTGGTCCCGTTCCAAAGCAGTCGTGTACCGGAATGACTATCCAGTTACCAGCTTTCTAGAATCCACAACAACAACAACCAAGTAGTAACACACAACTATCAACCTCTCTATCAACACCTCCTCTGCTACTACCACTGTGGAAATTCGGCTTATCAGGCGTGATAGCTAGCGATTGATAGAAGAACAAGAGGAAGACCGATAGCAGCGTCGTTCGATTGTCGCTCGTTCGGTCGTTCGAACGCCATTGTCGCCGATTTGAAGCTACCGTTCGACACGACGCTACCGTTCGAAGCTACCGTTCGTTCGAAGCAACGACCGTATCATTGTCGTTGTTTCGAGTATTGATAGAAGACGCAACGAACGAAGAAGCGCCGCAGCGAGAAGAAGAAGAGACGACTCGAAGCGCCGTCGAGAGATCCCTTTTGTCGACGACGCGAAGAAGAGATCCTCATTGCCAGCGTAATCGGCAGAGGAACAAGAGAAGAAGAGAAGACCTCCAAGCGGCATAGCAACAGAAGACCTCTCAAGAGAAGGTGCTCTCTCAAGTGGAGCGAGAGAAAGAGACTTCCAAGTGGGAAGCAGAGGTTTGGACTTATAATATTGATCCCTCCAGTCTGGATCAATTCCTGCCTCATTGTGACCAGAGAAACCAGTTGAGCCAAGGAGAGGGGACGCCTCATCCAAGTGTTTTGGCCCATACTGCCACAGACTGGGTGTGCAGAGCTCATTCCCTGGAATACAGTTTTACTTGTCTGGGTGTGTACAGTTTTACTGTTGGAATAGGAGCAGAGAAGAAGACCCAACAACTGTTGCTCATCCAAGTGATACCTCAAGAGAAGAAGTAATTGGAGGTGAATATGGCAGGCAATCTTGCAGCCATGAACAATTATCTACAGAATACCATCGGTATTACCGAACTAGCCACGAGGACAGCATTGAATGATCAAGGATTGGATGCCTTTGTCTCACTTGATACCTTTACCGATGCCGATATCAATGTTAGTTGCTCTAAGCTCTCTTCTAGTTTACTGTTGCTATTGAGATACTACTGAAAAAGTGGGTGGGCTCTGTATTTCTACTGTGAAATTCTAGTACAGAGGTACAGGTTCAATCCCTAATCGCGAATCCCCAACACACTCCTGTGGTCGTCGAGCTTGTCCTAGTTGTCGACCATGCTTACTTACTTACTCCGCTTAGTGCTCCTTCTTTGAACGGACCTTCTTGTCCGACCGTGACCCTCCTTCTGAGTGCCCTGGCTCTGAGTGTTCCACAACACCCATCAACTTGTCCACATTCTGTTTGAACAGTCGACCTTGGTTCGGCTTCGTCCAGAAGTCCGCAACCATATCATCAGTTGGACAAAAGTCCACACTGATCTCCTTCTTTGCGACTCTGTTGCTCACAAAGAAGTACCTAATGTTGATGTGCTTCGTTCGTTTACTACTAGAAGCTTTGCCGTTCTTCTCTAGAAGTATGGCACTCTTGTTGTCCTGATAGACTATAGTTTCTTTAACTACATAGCCTTGCTCCCGTAGGAACTGCCTCGTCCAAAGGATTGATGGCATCAGGTCATCAACTGCTACGAGTTCACTCTCAGTTGAGCTTCTCGTGTTCAACTTCTGTTTCGTCGAAGTCGATAATGGGTAACCGGTGCCCATGGTCAAACCACCTCCGGTATGACCTCATGTTTGGATGGACTGCGAAAGAACCATCAACATACCATTTCAATATGCCACTTCCGTCGGCTTTGAGAACTAATGGTAGTTTTCTAGTACGCCTAATGTACTGCATGAGGTGGACTAGTTTATCCCAGTCGTGCCTATCTGGTTCCTTGACTCTAGTCGTGAGGAACGATATTGCCGTACCTGTGTCTGGTCGGGCTCTCTTCGTAGCGAATAACACCTTAGCCACCAGGCTATGAAAGGTATCTGCCTTGCTCGTTGGGAGCTTCTTGCAGGATTCGACTACTGTGAATAGGTCTTTCGAGGCTGCACTACTTCTAGTCTTCGTGCCCCCTTCCTCTGGTGATGCCTTCTCGAAGGCTTCCAGGATTTCATCAACATACTTGTACATTGATACATTGCATTGACCCTTCGTCGTGAAGTCTATGGTCATGCCAAGATACGTGTGGACCTTTCCGCGGCTCACCGTCATCTCTCCAGTGCCGTCCTCCAATATGCTTTCGTATTCATCATGAAGCACTTGGATCAGCTGTGCAATACACGGCTCTTAGCCTTATTCGCGACTCAATCCTAGATAGGGTTTGAGTTCGACTCATGACTGAGTCTCTCGTGAATAGTTATTGAGACAGGGTTCTCAATGACCGCTCTAGTCATACTAGGTTGATGATGAAACATCGCTCTAGATATTTAGCCAGCGTGGAGTACTTCCACGCTACTAGATAAATGCTAGACGAATCTTCCACGCGTTCCGTTTTTGGATCGTGGAGTGAGTAGGATTGCTACCGCAACCTACTCTATCACACTCTACAGTCTCCCGCGGGAGTTCAGATCTACAATCCTTTGATTGTGGATCTCTCTCGTTGATTAGTTTTCATAGCTTTCTAATCCTCTCATAACTTTCATTCTCTCAAACTCAAAACACTCGAAAGATCTTCACACTAGCTTTTAGCATAGTGCATTTTGTTAACAAACACAATAGCTTTCAGCTACCCTCAACCTATTCCTCACCATGAAGATTGCCAAAGACGCATACACCAGCTTCGAGTCTAAGCTGCGCGACAAACCAATCCTTCCTCTCATCGACCTCGACGATGAATGCGAAATCGACGATTCTCGCTCTACCACCTACAAACTTCGCACTGTTCCAGCAGATGCTAACAGCGCCAAGTACACCTTCAAGGTCCAAATCATCAATGGATCTGAGACTCCACGTCAGACCATCAAGTGGGCTGGACGTATGGAGAAGGTCTTCGTCGGGCTCGCCATTGCTACGCCTGGCGACAAACATAACCTCCTCAAGGAGATGACTTCTAGCTCTGCCAAGAGCAGTTACGAATCTAGCTGTGCAGGCCATCGTGAAATACGTTGGAATGCCTTGCGCCAGATTGCAGTCAACGGGATTGCTCCACGCGACGTACGTGGCGGCGAAGACGAAGCCGCTTTCCAAGTACGTTTCCAGGCTGCCTGGAACGGAGCAGCTCAGCCTGCTTTGGACGATACTGACATTACGTTTGGCATAAATGCCTGTATCGAAGCGGTCTGCCCCTACAAGGCTCTTGAAAGGAAAAGAACAGATATAAGACAACAGCCACAAAAAATTGAATGAGTAGCAGAGGAGTAGTAACGGCGCGCTTGAGGGAAAAAAAAAAGTAAAAAAATAAAAAGAAGAAGCTGGATCACCATGGCCGATTTGTTGGTCCTTCCTGGGATGCGAAACGTC